CCCTCTGGCAGCAGGCTGAAATCAGGTGAATGAAACTGTAGTCGCTGACATTGTTCACATGGCAAAAGAGGTCTTTCTTGCATCAGGATGAAACCTGTCCCAGTGCTACTTGCACCCATTGCCCTCGTCCTCTCCATATGGCTCCTTGTGAAAAGGGAGCCTTTGTCCTCTTTGTAGCCACCCTTTGAGTACTGGAAAACGGATGAGGTCCTCCCTGAGCCTGCTCCTCTCCAAGGTGGAAAGACCCAACTCCCTCCTCCCAAGGCAGGTTCTCCAGCAATTCGACCACCTTCATGGCCCTCCTTTAGACCCTCTGTTCACATAAAAGTCACCAGGTAGCCACCAAACACCAGCTGACGCACAGCTATGTTCTCTCCCATCTCGTCTTTGAGCTCCTTGCCACCTAACTCAGGAAAACCATTGGAAGACTATTAATGCAAGGCCTGTAAGGTACAGAAAACAAACACAACCCGAAGGACATGTTAAGGGAGCAAGGAACCAAGTCAAAGGACAGGTACACAAAGCAAACCAGTTCAACATGTTTTGACAGGAGCTCAGTACTCAACACCAACAGCTTACAAATTTTATGCCGTAAAGGAATGGGAGGGCAGAAGGCATCCACCCAGGACACATACAAGTCATAGGCGGCGGGGGCTACATGTCAGAAGAGTTCCAAATAAGATATAAATAAAAATACCCTGTATTAGAGAAGCATCCACAAGCAAAGGATGCTCGGTCCCTCTAGTCCAAGTGAACAGTATTAATAACCTCAGAAAGTCTCACGGACCTTACATTCAGTACTTCAGGTATTGTGCACTTGTTTAAGTAACAATTTTGAAGGGGAAAAGGAAGTTGTTAATTCAAGCCTAGTTTGGCTTGGAAAGCATTAGCTTTCCTGCAGGCACCTCAACAGTCTCCTATAATAAGAGGCTTAGTACCACACTTCCCTTCCTAATGTGACAAAAATACAGTGTTTTCTGACTTAGACTGTCATATTTCCCCAGGTTGATTTTATAAATAGGAATGCCAACTCTCTCCTAAAGGGATTAAAAATCAAGCTGGTTGCCACAGCTTCTTGAACAGAACGTTCTCAAAGAGGCCTCTACCACAAATGAAGAATTGTGGATCATGACAGTGAAACTGGGAGAGCACTTCAAAACCCAGACGAGACACCATTATGCTGTGGAGTGCAGTCTGAGCCCAAGAAAAGTGAGGCTTGCAACCCAAAGCAGGACAGGGAGCCTGGAAAAGCGACAAGGAGTAGTGTTTATCAGTAAGAAAAGGTTTCTGGAAACACGTGTCCAATTTCTGTACATGAGCTACAGAAAGAAACTCATTCTTCTGCAAACTACTATCTTCCTGGGTTTTGCTGCTTTCCTCTAAAACACTTAGTTCTTCTTGAAGTTCTAGAAAAATGCAGATAGCAACCGAGCAACAGAGAAAACATGACCCAAGTTTAAAAATTCTGGACCATTATCCAAAAGATACTGTAAAGCAAGTGAAACACTATCATTCAGATCATGCTCTTCCCCCATCCCACGCAGCTGCCTTTCCTGTGCTGCTTCAACCCAACCTTCACAGAATCTCTGAGGCTGGAAGGGACCTCTTGAGATCCAGCCCAACTCCTCTCCGCCCTCACAAGCAACCCTTTTCCCCATTCCTTCCGAGTGGGGCAAGTGCTTTCTCTAACATCACTTGTGTGCCTGTCATTGCAACCAAGGACTCCTAAGAGAACACAGAGCTTCCCAAACCCTGGAAGAGTCCAAATGCTAGAAATAGGGTTCATAATACCCTCCCAAGAACCTTACTGGGGCAACGGAAAAAAACCACACCCACTTTGTTCAACCTAAGAAGACCTAAAACGAAAGCAGAAGGGATGTGCCACCGACACCGCAGCAGTGAGTTCTGTTTAAGCATCTCCACAAAGTAAGATAAATAGCCCATAATTAGAACATAAGCTGTCTCAATGTACTCATACCTGTTTCAACAGGTTCCTAGGTGGGTGTTAATGTACCTACAAAACTAGGGCAATTTACATACAATAATGCTCCCCTAACGCTCCCCCCCCTTGGTGCTGCATTGCTCAACCATGTGCTAGGCCAGAAGACAAAGCCATGCTTTCAGAACACATTATGCAGTCCCTTTTACATTTAGAAGTTCACAGACTAACATTAACACCTGTCATCCTTAAAAGGCAGAAATAAATGCAGAGTTTCCAGATGAACAAGAGGAAAACATTTCTCAAGTCTCATGGGGTGGAGGGAACCTGGCTGATGGGCAGCAACCCCTACTCCCTTCAGACATGAGGCATTAGCACAACATACCATCAATAAACTTTCCACAGAAACCTTGAATTCTACTACTTTGGCAGTTTCCACTACACTCCCTCCCTCTCACCAGCACAGAAAAGATAATTTTCAACCCAGATTTAGTTCTCCAATCAAATTTCATGACTGCACAGGTAATGTCTGACTCTCCAATTTTACTGAAGCTAGCTCAAATTGAAGTAGTAATTGCATTTTCCTAATCAGTCAGACCTACTGCTACGAAATGCAGATCCCCCTCCTAGAAAAAGATCCTTGAATATCTACGTGCAGCTACCATCAGCAGCTTCAATTTAGAGCCAGGCCTTCCTGGAGAAGACAGGACAGTAAAGACATAACATCAGGTATGGTCAGGCAGCCAGTCACTGAAGCAATGCTGTCTTCAAACTTTTAAAAGAGACCTTTTAAAGGCTCCTACTCCACATGCGCCCAGCACTCAGTCAGCGAAGGGACTGTCAACACATTCCCTAAGAAAATAACTATCTTGATTTTAAGTGGAGGCAAGTCCCTAGGAAGGGCGTGGAATCGTGAAGCACAAGCACCAGGATCCCTTCACTTAATGCTGCACGTCAGGCTGCGATTCTACACAAGCTCATGTGAGAGCAGGCCTGCAAGTGATGGTTTAATAAGCTGATACCAGAACATCGAGGCCGAGGTCACTGGCGATAGCATTACCTTGCAGGGTACTAACAGAGGTCTTTAAACACAATCATCTACAGAAAGACTGGCAAGTCCATCCCTCAAACTATTACAGTACACCACGCCTTAAAATACACCCCTGTAATTCCAAGCTCTACACCAGACCTACAGCACGGCATTCTCCCACTTCATTTATCAGAAATGTTCTCGCTTACTGCTCTTGAAAGAAAAGGCTGCTGCAAAAGTTTATTGCTTACATCTCCAACCTAGCTAGTAAAGACTCCCAAAGTTTACCTTCAACCAAACGGCACAGCTACCACCACGTAACAAATGGGCTTCACTGCCGGCTCTTCTCTCACACTGAAATACAGCAGACAGGCAGCCAAAACCAGCAGGGCAGGCAGGTGGCATACCCAAGCACCTCCTACAACAACTAATGCTCTCCTCCCCATGGATAATTGGGGGGGGGGGGGAGTCCTCTGGGCGTTTGGGGGGGGAAAATCTCCTTAGGACTTTATTTTTCCTACTAGTCACACCACATTCCCACATGCACAACAGAGGTTACAAAACAGAGGTGAAAGCACATCACCCAAATGCCAGAAAGGGGTGGGGACAGATAGCTTTAGGAAATTCAAGTCTCCCAAGTTGCTGTAGGATCATCTGCATTTCCCCCAGCAAGCACTCTATGCCTACTTCTGTTCTCTTCGCATTTTTTGACAGCATCTGCTTGCTCTTTGTGAGTATCCAGACAGACCGGCAGCTTGGTGAGCACAGCTGCTGGCAATGCCTGCCAGTTGCCTCAGCCGTATTTAATCCAGGAAGCCATCACCAAGGAAGGCACAGATGACAACAGCCACCCCCCATGCGTGTTCGTAGTGTCAGGTCAAAAGTTCCCACCCCACACAGTCCAATACCCCGTCTCTGACAAAGGCCGGTAAGAGAGATGCAAACAAACATAGCCTTTTATTAAGCTAGATAACTAAGCGCTCAATTAAACATGCTGTATCTATTCATACTTATTTAAATTATTGTACATGGCGTATGTTTAATCGCAGAAGCTTTTCAACATTAGTTTTTGAATGTCACGTGTGAGTTATCTGATGTGCAAAAATATATTTGGGAATAACAGAACTATTAAAACGCATAAAAATGGGCTTTAGATTTACTTTCGCTAGTTGCAAGTCACGCACAGTACATAGGACTTAAACATATTTTGCTTTAACACTCAGGCAAAAGTAGTATTAACTATGATTAAGAAACAGATTGGTTTTGGTGACCCTAAATCAGACTTTTAACTGTATTCACATAACCAGCGATGTCTATAGATATCTAGCAAAACCTTCAGAAGTGCTTCTGTACACCAATTGCTACCTCCTGCAGTAATCCATGGAGATCAGCCGTTTACCTGCAAGAACATTTCTTAAATAACATTAGACCTTTTTAGATCTTTGAAGCTGTTGCTCTATGTCAGCTTTGTTTTTTTTAACTGAAATATCCTCATTCTGCTCCTGGACCCAACTAAAGCTTTCTGGTGGTTTTCCTCCTCATCTCTCTACCATTTACACAACTCTGAACAAAACATTCCAAACGAAGATAGCATTCCAAATACTGTGAGAAGTTACAAAACAGAAGGGGATTTTTAAAAAGTCTTTTAAAAGCCTGTAAACTAACATACTCCTTTATTTCGTTCAACCATTAGCCACCTCACCCAGAAAGTGACAGCCCGCACACAGGATGCAAAGCCTGAAGCTGCAACGTCACTCGAAGAGGAGGAATGGCAGAGTTCCTGCATTGCTCCATGCACAGACAACACAACAGAGTCCAACTTTGCTCCTCCATTTTGCCTTCAGCACTCTACACCACGGCAAGATAACCCCTGTGTATCCACACAGGTCAACGCTGCATAGGCACACCACATATCAAACAGCTTATTTAGCTCTGAGAGACATTCTCTTAATCAGCACAAGCCTTCATCTCTCCTCCAGCCAGGAAGAACCTGAGTACCCTCATGTGACGTGCTTATGTCTACACAGGTGTATTGGGCTTGCATGGTGAGCTTTTGGTAGCAGGGGGTCTATAGGGGTGGCTTCTGTGAGAAGATGCCAGAAGCTTCCCCTGTGTCTGACAGAGCCAATGCCAGTCAGCTCCAAGGTGGACCCACCACTGGCCAAGGCCAAGCCCATCAGCAATGGTGGAAGCATCTCTGGGACAAAGTATTTAAGAAGGGGAAAAAAACCTGCTGAGGAACAGCAGCCAGAGACAGAGAAGTGAGAACACGTGAGAGGAGCAGCCCTGCAGGCACCAGGGTCAGCGCGGCAGGAGGAGCTCCAGGCGCCGGGGCAGAGATTCCCCCACAGCCTGTGATGAAGACCATGGTGGGGCAGGCTGTGCCCCTGCAGCCCAGGGAGGGCTACGGGGGAGCAGGGGGGGTGCCCCAAGGAGGCTGAGACCCCATGGGAAGCCCATGCTGGAGCAGGCTCCTGGCAGGACCTGCGGCCCCATGGAGAGAAGCCCAGGCTGGCGTAGGTTTGCTGGCAGGACCTGTGGCTCTACAGGGGACCTGCGCTGGAGCCATCCTTTCCTAAAGGACTGCACCCCACAGAAAGAACCCAAAAGACCTGCTGCCTGTGGGAGGGACCCACGTTGCAGTAGTTCACAAAGAGCTGTCTCCTATGGGAGGGACCCCACGCTGGAGCAGAACAAGAGGTCAAGGGGGGAGTGGCAGAGACAACCCAGAATGAATGGGCCACAACCCCCACTCCCTGGCCCCCTGCGTCACTTGGGGGGAGGAGATTGAGAAGTTGGGAGTGAAGTTGGGCCCAGGGAAGAAGGGAAGGATGAGGGGACAGTGATTTAAGATTTGTTCTTATTTCTCATTATCCTACTCTGATTTGATTGGGAATAAATTAAATTAGTTTTCCCAAGTCTGTTTTGCCCGTGATGGTAACTGCTGAGTGATCTCTCTCCTACCATTACCTTGACCCAGGAATCTTTCATCTTCTTGTCTCTCCCCCTGCCCAATTGAGGAGGGGGAGTGAGAAGGTGGCTGGGTGGGCAGCTGGCAGCCAGCCAAGGTCAACCCACCACAACAGGAAAGGAATCCTCTCTGAAACCCCTCCCATCCAGCAGTCACACAAAGTGCTCCGCCAGAGCAGCCAGACATGGAAATTATTTACTGCAGTACAGAAACCCCGTGATGCACAAGCCATTCTTCAGCATGTTATTGCCCAAGCCATCCCTGGCCCCAGATAGCCCACAACATACCATAAAATGTGCAGCACAACAAAAACCAAAGGTGAGCACTGGACAAAGGAAGCGTACTCCAAAAAGCAAAAAAAAAAAAAAACCAACCCAAACCACCAAAACCTACTTTGATGCTCTCAAATCCAGTGAAGGGTGGTAGGCACTGCTGCAAAAGGCATTACATAGAGGAAAAGGCAGAAGCTGGGTATAAGCAAAATCATCTTAAGGAGGTGCCTTATTTGAGGAGGATACAGAACAGGAATTGATCAAGCTACTGTCCTCGGCCAAGTGAAAGCAGCGATCAGCAAGCGAAAAAAATTATTACTTATGACAAAGCTAAATAATATGCATTGAAAATAAAAACAAGCTTGAATGTGATGTACCAGAAAAGGGAGACTACAGATGGGAAACCAAAGACAGCCAGCCACGTGGCCAGAGCAATAAGCTCGTGGGAAGCAAGAACAGGCAGAGAGGATAAATTTAAAACTGCACAGGGAAAACAGGGCAATATACAGAAGATTAGTCTCTTTCTGTTGGCAGCAACAGACTCCGGTGGCTGCCCTTGCATTCTGGAGGCCCATGTGCCTCAGCAAGCAGATTCAGCCCAGCGGCCTGACAAAGAATGTCCCCACCCTCCAGCCCAAGGAAAAGAACAGATGACTTTTGCCAGGTCAGCAAACTGGCTATTAGAGAATATTCAACCACTCTTAACCAGTACCAATATAAACAGAGTATTTGCAAGAGCGGGAGTCTCAACGAGACAAAGACAGTAAGAAACAACAGAAGCTGAAGCAGGAAAAACTCTTATTGGAAAACACACATAAATTTTAATCCATTGGAATGATCCAGCTAGATATTGGCCGACCTCTCACTACCTGGAGCCTCAAAAACCCCACATTGGACACCTTTATGGTCTAACTCAGTCAAATGTTGTAATGCTGATGCAGAAGTCACAGAAAGTTGTCTAGTCTGGGGTGTCCCCCCCGAAAAAAAGCTGTTGCAGCATCGCTGATGTAGAGGCTTGTTTAATACTTTACAGGAGAGCCTCGGGAAAGGCTGAAAATGTTTCTCTCTTCTCCTTTCAGTCATTTGGAGGGCAAGTGAAAGGTAAAATAACAGAATATAAAAGGAAAATTTACACCTGATCTACCGAAGCCAAAATGAAAACCAGACTGCAGCAGCAAAGACCCAAAGATATTCATATGCTGCAGGTTTTGGCAGTTAATTAGCTCATTTCACAATTCCTGGATATCTACACTTTGAAAAACAAGGCCCTGTAACATAATGTACCTGTCCTGTGCTGAAAAGGACTTTTATTTTAGCAGAGAGTAGCTTGTTTCAAAGGATTTCCGACTTGCAGTAACGAATATCATCTTCCTCAATCAACAGAGGTTGCGATAACATCTTATTCATGCGGCTGCCGTAACAGGAAAATTTGGCAAGAATCTGGTAGATGATGGAAAAACTGCAAGGAGAAGAGGGCAGAACCCGCTGTCACACTGAGTTTCTGTGATCACAGTGTAACCCCCAGTCAGAGGCTGGAAAGAAGCCAGCAAACGCTGCTACCAGCCATTCAATTCCCACTACAAAAATGACAAATCTCATCATGCAGAGCCTTTCGGAATACCAAGCATTCCACTTGGAACACCAAAACCTCAAGAAAGGGAAAATGTCTCCCTTTCCCTAACTCCCCACCAGGTTTGCTCACACTCGGGGTCAGTATTTGCATAACGTATCACTGGCTTTCCCCCATCTTCTCCAGTATCCTGCACCGAAACACAGAACTGCAGGCTTCACCATCTTCTGCCTGGTGACAAATCCTACAGAAACAAGGCTCAGAAGAGCGGACTGAGGGACACCAGCACATTCCAGACAGCAGGTGTCCAGGCTAAAGGAAGGCACCGACAATACTTATTTAGAATTTCACTCTTCAAAGAACTATTCAAATCCACAGAGGGCAGGGGGGAAGGCAAGTTGGCTTCCGCAGTGGCGTAACAGTCGTCATCCTGGGAAACAAGAGCATCATCAAGAGATACAGCATTCAAGGTCAGCTCCTTAAAGTCTTCCAAAGCAGCTAAATCTTCAAGGTGGGCCCACCACTGGCCAAGGCCAAGCCCATCAACAATGGTGGAAGTGCCTCTGGGACAATGTATTTAAGAAGGGGAAAAAAACCTGCTGAGGAACAGCAGCCAGAGAGAAGTAAGAACATGTGAGGTGCAGCCCTGCAGCCCCGCAGGCCAGTGCAGCAGGAGGTCAGGAGGAGCTCCAGGCGCCGGAGCAGAGATTCCCCGCAGCCCCTGGTGTAGCCCATGGTGGGGCAGCTATGCCCCTGCAGCCCAGGGAGGCCCAAGGAATCACCCGAGAAGATGAAAGAAGATCTCTCGGAGAGGTAACAACAACAAAGGAGTGTTGTCTTCTAGAGAAGTAGGTGGAAGTTTAAATGCATTTCAGTACAGTTTGTGCAGGAAAAGACACAGCCTCTCAAATGAAGAGCTAGGGAAACAAGTGCTGCCCACAGCGAAAAGGTCCCAGAACATTCTCGTTATCCACAGAGACATTTTCAGTTCAAAGATACCAAAAAGCAAAGGATTGGTGAGTAACAAAGGCCAGATTGTTCCCAATGACTGATGTACCCTCCCTGGCAACACACAGCTGAACCAAAGACCATACCAATATTCTGGCACTGAAATCCTTTCTCATCCCCCATAAAACTAAATATGAGGTTCCTCTTTCTTCCATTGCAAACACTGCCGACAACTGGTTAAAATTACCTTAGCTGCTCTTGGCTGGTGGGGATCCTGTCACATGTGCCATGTTTGCCAAAAAGATGAGTCCTGAGGAGCTTTCAGACCAAGAGTACGATGTGCATAGTCACAAGGAACTTAATTATCACAGATGCAAAAGTCTCTTTCAAAGCACATTCACAGAATCACAGAATCACAGAATCACAGAATCACAGAATCACAGAATCACAGAATCACAGAATCACAGAATCACAGAATCACAGAATCACAGAATCACAGAATCACAGAATCACAGAATCACAGAATCACAGAATCACAGAATCACAGAATCACAGAATCACAGAATCACAGAATCACAGAATCACAGAATCACAGAATCACAGAATCACAGAATCACAGAATCACAGAATCACAGAATCACAGAATCACAGAATCACAGAATCACAGAATCACAGAATCACAGAATCACAGAATCACAGAATCACAGAATCACAGAATCACAGAATCACAGAATCACAGAATCACAGAATCACAGAATCACAGAATCACAGAATCACAGAATCACAGAATCACAGAATCACAGAATCACAGAATCACAGAATCACAGAATCACAGAATCACAGAATCACAGAATCACAGAATCACAGAATCACAGAATCACAGAATCACAGAATCACAGAATCACAGAATCACAGAATCACAGAATCACAGAATCACAGAATCACAGAATCACAGAATCACAGAATCACAGAATCACAGAATCACAGAATCACAGAATCTTCTTGTGCTGAGGGCTCCAGAGGTGGATGCAGGGCTCCAGGGGAGGTCTCACCAGAGCAGAGTAGAGGGGCAGAATCCCCTCCCTCGACCTGCTGGCCACGCTTCTCCTGGTGCAGCCCAGAGTACGGTTGGCCTTCTGGGCTGCCAGCGCGCATTGCCGGCTCATGTCCGGCTTTTCATCCACCAGCACCCCCAAGTCCCTCTCGGCAGGGCTGCTCTCCATCCTTTCTTCCCCCAGCCTGTACTGATAC